TATATATATGTATGGGTTCAGTGTGTACAATAAAGAATAAATAGAAATAGAAATAAATAGGAAATAGAATATTTTAAACACGAAAGTGAGTCTGTTTGTTTATTTGTATGTTTATGCCTTAGTATTTATTGAAACATCATCGTAAACAAAACTGTTTTATAAGAGAAACCTGAATTATTTGACAAAATCTACATTCCCTCGCAAAGATACACGCACACTAGAAAAGAAACTTAAAAGACAGCCAATTTCCAATTTATTTTGAAATGAGCCCAATGTGTTTTCTTCTCCCATTCTCCTCTATCAGACGTCATTGCACAGCTGACTCCCTTTTCAGACATATCATCTTTTACGCAGTCCATCCATACTTTATTTGGTCGTCTTCTACTCGTATATCAGATACCATCGGAAGGTAATGTTCAATTCTATTCAGAGTATAAGTTTTTTTAATGTTAAAGTAAAAAAATTGTATTAATATTTGCTAGACTAGTTTCGATCCCCACTACTATTAGCTTTTTGCAAAAGGGGGGGACCTCTCAAGAAGTGAATATTAATGGTCTGTGACGGAGCGTGACGCCTGATTCATACAGTAAATTGTATCATCATCATCAGCCTATCGCAGTCCACTGCCAGACATAGGCCTCTTCCATTGCACGCCGCTTAGATCGATTTTGGGCTTCTCGCATCTAGCTCCTGCCAGCCATTTTGCGCAAATCGTCACTCCACCTGGCCTGTTGGCGTCCTACACTACGTTTGCCGAGACGCGGTCTCAACTCAAGAACATAAATGTATATATCTTTAATTAAATAGCTATTGAACATCTCGAACTTCCATACCATCATTCATCCCTTATTTTACTCCCTTAGGGGAGGAATTTCCAAAAAATCTTTCTTTTTGGCTGCTTACAACATAAAAACCACCGATTGTCAAAATTTCAAGATTGTAGCCCTGTAGTAGTTTAAGCCCTGTCTTGATGAGTCCGTCAGTGAGGCCATGTTATTTTATATGTATAGATGGAATCATCATACCATCCGCGTGGTGACGGATTAAGAATACGGAGTGTCACCACCCCTATTCATTGCGTGGGTGTCGTAAGAGCCGACTAAGGGAGCAAACTACGCAGGACAACAGCACTGCAAAGAGAAGTATAACTTGCCACAAACCCTGTACCAACCCGTCTGGCCAGCGTGGTATAGTAGGCCAAAACCTCCTTTCTAAGGAGAGGTCTATGTCCAGCAGTGGAATATTAAAGGCTGTTGATGTGATGATGATAGATGGAAAGGGTAATATAATCACACTGAAATTATTCAAAAACGTTGACGTGTGTCATAGTACTTACAATACATTATTTATATACATATAATTATTTTTAAGTCAATTTAATGAACTTTGGCATTTACTTTGTCTTCGAACTATTCCGAGAGTGAAATCACTGTAAATACTGCATTCCAAAGTTCCTTACCCTTTTTACCAATGCTGGAATATATGAACATAACAAACATTATTAAAATTATACAGAATCCACAGGTGTACCCTTTTTTTGACAAATTATGTGACAGAAAAAATAACTTTGTTAGGTACATTCTGCCCGAACTAAGCCAACTTCACGTAAGGCTTAATTGAAACTCAATAGACAGTCAGTCTGAATAGGCGCCAGCAAATATAGTCCTGTGTGTTACCGTTGAAAATAACGATTGCTGATAAACATACTTATATCTATATATTAATACGTGAGAAAACCGATTTAAATGTTTGTTCGTATCCCTTTTAAAAGAATTTAATGTTATATATATACACCAAGTATAGAAAGTTTTCAAATATTATGTGTTATGTAGTTAAAAATTATGTAAAAACAACTACATTAAAGCACGATCATTTGTTTTATGTCTTAGTGTAATAATTTATAGTATTTATCTATAGTGTTTAGAAAAATATAAATATGTTTACCAGCAGTCTGGTTACCATTGTACAGGTTCTGCCTAGTGTTCTTACTCTCTCTTCTCTTTCACTCTCTCTCTTCCTGACTCTGTTCCCAACAGAGTCTTGGAAAAAGTTAGACAAAAGCGACCTAAAAGTAGAATCCTCAGGCTTCAGTTCACTCCGCCAGGACTATCGAATATTTGTCTATCGAACGTGAGGAGCTAATGAGCCATCCTCCTTACAGCTCCGACCTGGGAACTTGTGACTTTTATTTATTTTCAAGCTTAGCTTAAAAAGGGACTTCGAAAAGCAATGAAAATATTAACAAGCTTCTATTTCATTCTTTCAAAAATCATTCAGTTTGACCCCCATATACTCGTATATTGTGAACATTATCTACAATTACAATGCCACATAGCTTTAAAATTTGGCGATTCATGTTAAGAATCATTAATATTCATGATTGTTAACAATAATTACTAGTAATTACGTATGCATATTAAATATACATTATGTGCGGTTCATTGTGACAGAGGTTCGTCAAAAGCATTAACAAGACTCTGGAAATCAAACTTAACTAATATATATTTAATGTTTTATTTCCATTACATTTATCTGTCTCTCTGTTTACATAGAATAGGTATATAAAACTATGCTCTAGAAAGATTGTTATTATTTTGTAATCGGAAACCACACATCAATTAAATGGCTAGGTATGTATTGTTTTGTTGTAAGTAATTATGATTGACATACTTATAATTTAAAGTTTTGTTCAATGTTATATAACGATCTCTCTTTTCTACTAATGGAAATACATGATACAAGTAGAGTCTCCACTATATAAAGCGACCCTAAAGTAAAGAAGTTTAAAACATTCGACTGCCATCAAGGATTGCGAATTCCATTCCTTCTCAGTGCATTAATATTCGGATTGTTGTCCGTTTTCTCAAGTTTCTCATTTATAATTTATTTAATAAATAATCATCAAAATAATAATTATTATTATTATCCTGATTTAATGACGGACTTGTTGGTCTAACTGCTAAGGTCTCAGGTCATGATCTCGAATCCCCACCACTAAACACAATATATGATAGTGACCATCACAAAGTTATTTATTATTATACTTTACCTACATACACATGCTATTGAAATCACCATATAACGGGTTATGTTTAGTTTTGTTTCAGACGGTTGTACTTGAGATTTTAATATGTTTCTTATACCAATAACATCTAGCTAGCTAGCTATACCATGTCACGCTTTGCTGTTATGAGAGCGTTCGAGCTGCAGGCCAAGTGCGATTTTATTTCACATCAAGCCATTCTCGATAGCGAGCGCGTTCAGTGTTGCGATTGGTTAAGATTTCAGTGAGGGCCAATCACAGCGCCGAACGCGGTCACCGTGACGATCGAGTAGAAGTGAAATAAACTCACACTTAGCAGTCTATTCGAGAAATGAGAAACAAAAAAAACTCTTAAAGTATGTATGTGGTGTCAAATTTTGAGCTCTTTCGGTGCAGATCTTTTTAGTCTGCCACTACCTGGGTCCAGATGATTTAATATCAGCAGTTCCCGGATCCCTCTTATTTCAGGCGCAGAGTGGTGCATCTTATGGATTTAGTCGATTAGATTCCACACCACTCCGGCGCAAACCCCAATGAGTGACAGCCCCAGGGGGTTTCCACACGTAAAATACCTAATTCGTAATGGTGTCCATTCAACATTAAACAATAAGTGAATAATATTGTATTTGAGTAGTATAATTCTAGTGTATTGAATTGACTTGATTGTGATTGACAAAAAACTTACGATAATTTCGAATATTGTTATTAAATTTTCCTTTGATCAAAGTTTCATAACACCATTGTTATATTGACGGCTTTGTAAGATGAACAAGACTTTAATGAACCGTTCATAAAACGGATGTTACTCACACAAAACTAAATAAATACATTTTAATGCAATTTGCAATGAATATTGCTTGCGTTATTGTACAAATATTGGCTATAAAAACTTGTATGCATTCCATATAGGAACACAAAATAGAAATATTTCGTTTAGTTGCATTTAATCAAGGCATAATATGTAATAAACACAAATATATATTTTAAACAATACCTATACTTTGGAAGGTTAAATAAAAAAGATACAAAAAATACAAATATAACAACTTTAAAGTTAGGTAAACTTTACAATTTGACTTCAACAACCTAAGCATACAGAGGTCAAAACCTGCTTACCAAAGTAAATTTCAGTCGACTCACTCTTGAAATATTTTTTTTACATTTGATAAAGACGCCATGTTGTTATATATACAGGGTAATTGGGTGAGTCGACCTAAATACTTTAAGGGGATGTACTCGTAGTTGCCATTATTTCTGATAGATTATATTTATTAGAGAAATACCATATACCGAAAAAAAAACATTACCAAGATTTTTTACTTTTAAGTATTTTTTTAAAGTCGCCGATTTTTTGCCTATTAGCAATTTTTTTAGAACTTAGTTCCTTTATTTTATGCTTTTTTTAGTGTTTTGACAAATAAATATATAATTTCAATTACTAAAATTGTAGTTAACTTAACAAACTGGTCCAAAGTGATGGTTAATAATAGACAAATATGTAAATAAATTTTGTAAATATTTTTTTCTTTGACAAATAATATAAAAAATCTATGACAGTTAAACTGCAAATTTATTAAAACATGATCGTATTCTTAGCTATCTAACGAGGTATAATAGTCCAGGATAGTATGAACATTTATAAAACAAAACCGGACATGTTAAGAATTAGCGTACAACCCGGTTATTTTTGGGATAGGGTATTTCATAGCGAAAACTACAATCCCTTAAAGAATTTAGGTCGATTTACCCAGTAACCCTGTATATGTATACATATATATATAAATTTAACATAACGCTAGGACCATTAGGAGCGGAGTAGTGACTCTAAACGCAAGTCGTCGGTCCATTGTAATTCTATGAATATTTAATTTTAGGTACCGATCAATTCTACAAAAATACCTCTGGCATTCAGAAGAACTGTCTCCTACACTAAGATGAGGGCACTGAAAACTAAGTTATGAAGTGGGTGGCGTTAGTGTTCCTGATAGCTGCTGGCGTGGTGCGTCAGCCATCGCCGGTGGTGCTCACTAGTAGCGGGTACATCCGCGGCGCCGTCAGCCACAATGGACAGTTCATCGAGTACTTCGGGATACCATATGCTACTGTCAATGAGACCAATCGCTTTCAGGTCAGTATACCAATATTATACATCTTCAAGATCTTCCACTTTTGCTATTTGCTTATTTTGTTATAATTCAAATGCTGGTAGGATAGGATACCTGCAGTGTAACCTGGATATTTGTAGTTGTGGAAAACGATGGGTGTTATAAGTTTAACCTGTGTCTGTCTGTATGTCTGTCTGTGGCATCATAGCTCCCGAACGGATGGACCAATTTCGATGCTGATTTTTTGTTCGAAAACTGAAGTGATCGAGATAGCTATAAATTTTAAAGATCATCAGCTCACTTCCTAAGTGATGAAGGTATCGCAGTAAAATACAATCCTTTTATTTTGTTTTATAATTTTTAAAATTAATTGTTATAAGTCTATAAAGGCACGATTTGGGTCTATATTTATTTAAACTTAATTTATTCAACATAAAATTTAGCAGAATTGTCATACCTACCAGCATTTCAAAATATTTGTAATAGTTTCAATAAGATCTTGAAAAACGGAATATAACGCTATATCTAAACACTTTTCCACGGTCGTGAATAATAACATAATAGTAAGGAGCAAGGCCGAATTAAAACCGTGCAATTCTGACGACATCAATGCAACTAAGGTCATTTTTAAAAATGACATCTTTAGTGCACACCTACATCACCTCAGAAACATTGCAGCTAAATTTCATGCTTCTATATCCAGCGGTTTCACCTGTGCTTTGATCAGTCTGTCAGTGTCTTCTTTTAATATAGATTACTGTAGTGTCTATTGTTGTAACCCTATTACACCAGGGCATCTCATTTTCAACCTCCTTGGCAGAAAAAGGTTAAAAGGATAATTGTCTTTAAGATTAACCATGTTCTAAGGCGTTTTCCTGAAAATTGCATGACTTTTTTTTTTTTTTTTTTTTTTTTTAACGTGTGGAAATCCCCTCGGACCGTCACCCCTCCGGGGTTTGCGGCGGGGTGGTGTGTCGGACTCGGACCGACTAAAACCACACGGTGTGCCACTCTGCGCCTGTAACAGGAGGGATCCGGGAACAGCTGTTGTTAAGACATCCGGACCCCTCCTAGCGCCAGCCCGCTCCTGGTGCGGGCTCCGTCTCGATGTGGATGTTCCTCTCTTTAGGCGACGTCCGGCACACGCGGACGCCGCCCCCTCGCGGCTGGCCAACTAATGCGGGTGGAGGGGAAACCCACCCCGTCCACCCGCGGCCACACTCAGGGCGGCATGAGGCTGTGATAGGCGGGCCTCCGCCGCCCGGTTCGCCGGCGGCGGATCGGGTCCGAGTGGAGGTCGTCCTCCCGGGCCCTCTCCGCCGCCTCCTTCCGCGAGATTACTACCTCGCAGAAGGTTTGCGACCGCGGTAAAACAACTGTCGCTACCGGCCATGGAGCGTACTACGGCCGGTAGCGAGAGATCCACTCCGATGACTGCAGTGAGGGCCCGGCGCTGCGCCGCCCATGCGGGGCAGACCGCCAGCGTGTGCTGGGCCGAGTCCTCACTGCAGTCGCAGTGGTGGCAGGCGGGACTCAGTTCCCTCCTAGCGACCGTGTGCAGGTACTTCCCGAAGCAACCGTGCCCGGAAAGCACCTGCGTCAGTCGGAAGGAAAGGGTCCCGTGCTGCCGCCCTGCCCACTCGGCGATGACCGGCTGGAAAGCCTCCACGGCGGCGAAGCCAGCGCGTGGAGTCTCCAGCCGGAACGACCAACGAGCCATCGTGGCTCGGCGAGCGGCTTCGCGCCACTCGCGCACATCCTCGGGCGGAGGGCGAAATCCGCTCTCCGCCCGGCAGTCAGCCACTCGCCGATAAACCTCGGCGAGCACTTCCGCCTCCAAATCCCACGGGGGAGTTCCGGCCAACGCGCACGCCACCTCCGTCGAAACGGTGCGGTAACCGCGTATGGCTCTGACCGCCATTACCCTCTGAGGGCGCCAGAGGCGTACCCTATTCTGGGCGGTCAGAGCCGCCGCCCACACCGGTGCACCGTACAGTGCCATTGACCGGACAACCCCCGTGTACAGCCGTCTTGTCGCGACGCTGGGTCCACCCATATTGGGCAGAAGTCGCCCTAGGGCGGACGCAGCGCCGACCAGCTTTGGAGCAAGCTGTCGGAAGTGCTCGTCGAAGAGCCACCTACCGTCGAGGATCAGGCCCAGATATTTCATCTGGGCCCGAACCGGTACGAGGACCGAGTTGACCACGATGGAGGCGCCAGGGGGTGGACCACGACGGGGCCCATGGAATAACAGGGCCTCCGTCTTATCTAGGGCCACCCGTAAGCCCAGCGCCTCAATGCGCCCGACCACCAGGGAGACTCCCCCTGTGGCCAGGCGCGCCGCCTCTTGGAAGTTTGCCCCCCGGGCTGTCACGAGGGTATCGTCCTGCGTAACAGATTACACCCAGCCCGGGGGGAAATCGGCGCGAAGGGCCCAGTCGTACCCTATGTTCCACAAGAGGGGTCCAAGAACAGACCCCTGTGGAACACCGCACGACATGGGCCGACACCTCAGATTACCTTCTCGGTCCTCGTACACGACGGTACGCTCCTCTAAATAGTCTGCCACCAGCCGCCTCAGGTACTTTGGCACCCCATGATAGTGGAGTGCTTCCCTGATGCAGCTGAATGGCAGACTATTGAATGCGTTGGCGATGTCCAGTGACACCGCCAACAGCACGCCGCCACAGCTCACGGCCTCTTCGGTCACGGCCCTCAGGCGCAACACGGCGTCGACTGTCGAACGCCCCGCCCGAAAACCAAACTGGGCGTCCGACAGATCGGGGCCCACCTCGCAGAGGTGCCGGACGATGCGGGCAGAAAGAACCCTCTCAAACAATTTGCCCGCCTCGTCCAGCAGCACGATGGGCCTATAGGCCGCGACCGAATCGGCTGGCCGTCCCGGCTTCCTCAATAGGACCAGCTTCCCGCTTTTTCCAGCACTCAGGGAAGCGTCCCGACGCCAAGCTAGCGTCGAACACCTCCCCGAGGCGGTCTGCCATGTGGTTGAGGGCCAGGGCCAGCACTCGGGCCGGTACCCCGTCTGGCCCAGGGGCGGTGTTCTTGGAACGGATCCGTAGAAACAGCCGCCCCTACCTCCGAATCCCGGACGGGCGGAACATTGTCCTCCCCGTGCTCCCCGTCGTCTCCGGCCAGGGAGGCCATCGACGGGGGAGTGTGTTCCGCTCGTTGTGGGAAAAGGCCCTCAACCACTTCTCGCAGGAAGCTGGGCTGGAGAGTCTCCGTAAGGGGGGGGCCCGACGCGCGGAGCTTTTGTCGCACCGCGCGGTAAGGGCGACCCCAGGGGTCACGATTAAGACCCTCCAGCATCTCCTGTCTCTTTTCCTCTTTGGCGCGGCTAATGGCCAGCTTCAGAGTTTTCCGCGCCCGCCGGTACTCCTCATGAAGCCGGTCCTCCTCACCGTCTCCACGGTGACGCCGCCGACTGCGTGTGTAGGACCTCCGGGCACGTGTACAGGCCGCACGGAGGTCCGCCAGCTCCTGGGACCACCAGTAGACCTCCTTCCTTGGAGGCCGACGACCTCGAACGCGGGGCATGGCCGCATCGCATACATGCGTAATCGCATCGCGAAAGCGGCCAGCCCCCACGTCGACCTCCAGCATTTCAAAATATTTGTAATAGTTTCAATAAGATCTTGAAAAACGGAATATAACGCTATATCTAAACACTTTTCCACGGTCGTGAATAATAACATAATAGTAAGGAGCAAGGCCGAATTAAAACCGTGCAATTCTGACGACATCAATGCAACTAAGGTCATTTTTAAAAATGACATCTTTAGTGCACACCTACATCACCTCAGAAACATTGCAGCTAAATTTCATGCTTCTATATCCAGCGGTTTCACCTGTGCTTTGATCAGTCTGTCAGTGTCTTCTTTTAATATAGATTACTGTAGTGTCTATTGTTGTAACCCTATTACACCAGGGCATCTCATTTTCAACCTCCTTGGCAGAAAAAGGTTAAAAGGATAATTGTCTTTAAGATTAACCATGTTCTAAGGCGTTTTCCTGAAAATTGCATGACTTGTCCCAAGCACACTTGAGGAAAATTGTTTTTTAAATCCCTTCTATTGAAGCCCACTTGAAACTTTTCCCCAGTCAGGTATGTCAAGCGAAAGCTGTGTTAAAAAGTAATTTAGAGCACAAAGAGAGGGTTTGAGTATTGACAAATGATTTTAAATTGATAAAAAAGTGTAGGTAATACAAATGAATCGTACAATGATGGCAATATCATTTACCTGCGCATAACATTTTTTAAGGCAAACTGTATTTTTTATTTAAATAATTGCACTAAAACACTTGCTTAGCTGTCCTAGGGCTAGGGAATTTTACCTCAAATTATAAAAACATTTTTTTAGACAGAATTTTTACCTAAAATTTTGTTTTTTTTTACTGAAGAAATATATCAACTGAGCTACTCGTACATTGCAAACTCAATTTAATTAGTAACCTTGGGTGGTGAGTCGGGCAATGTTGAAGTGTGTCTTAGAATATAAGAGCAAGCTTAGGAAATTACAATTTGCAATAAATTCAACAACCTAGCAAAAAGATCAAGGTCTGACTGAGTGGTACATAATCTAGAACTTGGTCACCTTGACCGTTTACGTCTGCGAATATAACCTATTGGTGTTTTGCGTTCACCGTAGCAGTGTAATTATGTACATCGTAGTAATATTCTCCCTTTACTACATGTGCAGTAATTACTGCTGATAGGCGATAATAGCGCAAAAGTTTACGAGGAATTACGGTTAAACTATTATAGAAGTACATTTTGCCTGCGTCTTCATTCGCTTTCCAATTCCAAAGAATTTCCAACCCCTTTGAAGAGTTTTATTCGGATGAATAGTATTCAATGTTCTCTCCTATCTGCATGCTCTCTTTTGGCATCTTCCATATATCTTTGTCCTCCACCTGCGACCGCCTTCATGACAGTTGTCCCATCTTTGTAACAATTTTGCATTAACTTTCTGTTTCTCTTTGAAAGTGTGCTCTCTAATAC